GGAGACCACAGTTGTTTTCCCTTGACTTGAGCTCATGGGAGTTTGGCCCCTTTAGAGAGGAGAACTCTTCTGTCCTTTTAGTTTTTGCTTCCGTTTTTGTTTTTTTTTTTGTTTTTTGGGGTGTTTTTTAGGAACCTCTTTACCTTCTTGACCACCAGGGCATCCACACACGTGGAAACTGGTCAACATGAGCACGGCCTAGCGAAAGAAAAAAGAAAAAAGAAATTTCTATTCACTTATCTACGGACGATCAAAGGCCATAAAGCTGGTATGTTTTTTTTTGTTTGTTTTGTTTTGTTTTGTTTTTTTTTGTTTTTTGTTTTGTTTTTTTGTTTTTTTGTTTGATTTTTTTTTTTTTTGTTCTTCTCTTTCTGTAAACCTCCTCGTTCCTTTGGTACAATATGAACAATCATTTGTTTTGGGACATATGTAAATCTTTTTAATATATGTATGTAAGTTGTTTGCCTTATTAAATGTTTTGTTTGTTATGCTTGCGTATCTCGTCTTTCTATATTCGCATTCAGTGTTAGTGTATCAATGGCTACACTAATACTAGTACTCGGTATACTACTGGAAGGTTAAAACACGTTATTCTTCCTAACACAAAATAGTCGGTAAACTCTGTGTGGCCGATAACCTATACTAATAATGGTTTAATCATAGCAATTCACAGATAATAAAGAAAAGGAATATGTGGAGGGGTCATTCTCCCTATGCTATAAATACTGGGCGACTTCTCGCCTCGTCCTTCAGGCCTCGTGCCACATCTCACCTCGCGTGGAGGTGAGGTAAATCCTCTTTTTCATTTCTTCATTTCAACGACTACAATGTAAGCACTCTTAGAAAATCTGCGTCTTCCCATTTGTGGAAGACGCCGTGAGCATTATACACGAACGTTCACCAAAATACGAACATTCACCAAAGAACAGACACAAATGTTCACACACAAAATGTTCACACACACACGCTAATGTCATTGTCTATGGCCATTGTAAAATTGTTTTGTTTAATACATATATTTGTTCATACATATATATATATATATATATATATATATATATATATATATATATATATATATATCGGTCTTGTTTGTTTGTCTTCTTTATCTTCAGTTGGACTTAACTTGAGTCCGGCAATTTTCTTGTAGTTAGACCTTTTAATATTCTACCAGGAGTTACACACGTGTTTCTAATAAAAACAACACGTAAATACACACACGGTCCTCTACACTACTCTTAATCCCTAACCGTGGAAAAGGCAACGGAAAACCACTGTTCTACTTCCACAGTATGCATGACAATGCACAGATAATAAAAAAGGAAGCTATGGAGAGTTATGATCGCTAACTTCTTGAATGAACGCGGCTTCTAAAAATACTGAAGTGGAATGCTGTTGCGGGAATGCTAATTGCGTTTATGTAGAAAACGTCTGTTTCTTAGTGTATTTTTCCCGTCACAATTATTGCGGACTCGCATGTGAGTCCGAGTAATAAAATGGGTAACACAAAACAGTATATAAAACAAACGACAATGTATGTATTAACAAAAGTATACAATGAAAATAAAAGAAGAAAACGTTTAATCCTTTGATCCCTGCATTACTGAACAATTTTAACCCATCTGCCTGAGCTCCTGAGTCAAAATTCGCAAATAATTGGTATGTAATGCTTCACGGTAGATATAAAAATAGTTACAAGTGTTTACCCATCGTTCAATCGATGGCTGGGCATTAAGTCATTTTTCTCTACCACTGTTCAACCGGTGGCTGGGCATTACGTCATTTTTCTCTACCACCGGTAAAGCAGTGGTCAGGGCTCAAAGAATTAAAGACTAATTACCTAGAAAACGTTCGAATTAGAAAATGTGTGTTTGTGGAAAATGTACAGAAGAAGTCCGATGGAAAATTAATGCATTAAAAGTAGGTAACTCCACTTTTTCGGCATAAATTTTCGATACCTAAGTTTTAAAATGAATTTTTAAAAATGAAAAAGCATTCTTAAAGACTTCATTTTAGCTTTAATTGAAAGTAAAAGGATTAAATTTATTATTTCCAGTAAGTAAAATATTCTGGTGTATTTCAGATAAAAATTATGTAGATTGGAATGTCAAATTTAATTTCGATTTCTTAAAAGCGGCCATTTTCTTAATTTTAAGAAATTTGTAAACAAATTTATCGATTTTAAAACTCTTCCAAATATATATATATATATATATATATATATATATATATATATATTTCTGACACATTATTTGAGTAAAATTAGAAAATTTAAAGTTAAATTAATCTGATCTAAAATAAATATTACTTATAGCATAAAAAATTAATATACAACCATTTGCGATTGATCGGCCATGTTTAACTGAAACGATGTTTGATGGATGATTGAGTGACGAGACGATGACAGCTAGTATGGATGGCTAGAATTGACATAAAATTTATGAAAAGTGAACGCATTTTTTTTTTTGTCTTTAACTACCAAGTAATTTTTACAAATGAACACATTTTCCGCGATTATCTAATAAATTATTGACTTTTATTTACCTTTCGAAGATGCTTTATGCAAAAATAAAAAAAATTAAAATGATATAAAATTTTCTTAAATTAATTTCTCTGTAAAGAGACAAAACTCTTAGATCACGTGACATTTTCATAATAGTTTCATGCTTAGCCTTTCATAGATGAAAAAGAAGGGAACAAATTAAGTAAAAAAATAAAAATTATTTTAAAAATAGAATAGTGTAACTACGTTTATTAATCTTTTCAATTTTGTATTCGTAAATTTCGTTTCTATTTAATTACTATGTCACATCCAGGAAATAGCCCAATACAAAATTTTACACGATTTTAAATTATTATAATTAAAATAAAAAAAAAATGAAAAATTTCGTGTAAAAATTCATTATTCTTCGGAAAAATTTTATCTCTTCAGACAATAGTGTCCTTAATATAAAAGCTTTTCTAATTAAATAATTAGATAGTTTTATTGCATTCATTATATTTCAATTCAGAGCCAATTTTTAGTTAGAATAGTGCAAGTTTGAAAAAAAAATAGATGATTTAGATTCTCCAAGGAGTTCTACTTTTAACTCATAAAAACATTCAGGAAATAGAAAGGTTTTTGGCGAAATTTTATGAAATAGAAAACAATTATTGTGGGGGATGACATATGTTAAAAATATTTTTTTTGCAAAAATTTTCTAAAAACAAAAAAAAATTCCAAAAATAATGTCATTCATTTGTGAATAAATCCTGAAAATTTCATTAAAATTGGACAATTATTTGATTTTTGCAAGAATTTACAAATCCATGTTTTCAACGGAAAAAAAGCGCAAAAATGTCAATGTTATTATTATGCGTAAACAAAGCAAGATTTTAACCAAAATTTCGAACGTTTTAGAAAGGATTAAAAAATTTCAAAAAATAGTCAATACTTTGGTCTTTCATCTTAATAATAACATAAACATGAAATAGGTACAAAAACGGCGTAGGGAAACTACGCTATGCCGGTGGGAAAAGGACTGAAACCGAGATACTAGGTCAGAACCAATAACATTGCAGATTCTTCTATGGATTTTATCAAGAATCTCTAAATCTATAGCAGGAGCACCAGACCAGATATGGCAGCAATATTCAAAGCAAGGACGAATAAATATGTAAGATAGGTTTTAGCTAGTACGACATACAGAAGCTATTTTCATACCAGCAGACCTAGCAATAGATTCAATATAGTTTTTCGACTTCATGATAGCCAAAAAAGTTAGTCAGCTCATCGAGTCACTCTCTTGGGGGTTAGCGTTAGCCATCCTGAAGGAATGTAGAAAGTTTTCTCTCAGATGGTTAATGGAGAGCAGTTTAGTTTTAGAGGCATTAAAAATAACAAGCCATTCTTTGCCCCATTTAACAACAGACTGTAGGTCGTTTTTGAGATCAGCCGCCAATTTGACCTTATTGAATTGAATTGGACTATCGAGACAGGAGTAAATTGTTGTGTCATAATTATAATTTCCGACTTCCGGTCGCTAATGAAGTCGGAAATTATAAATTGTAAAAAGTGAAAACTTAGCTGAATCATGCTATTAAATCCTCAAGTTTTCAACTGAAATCAACAAAAGACGAAATTTAAGAAAATAGTCACAATTTATAGAAAAGAAAATAAGGCTTGAGGTGAAAGTAACACCAGGAGAAGATATAGCAAGTCGTGCATCTCTATCTCCATATACTATTAATAATATATACACCCTCAAGAAACAGAATCAAAGTGGCTTTACCAATGCCTTTTTCTTTACTTGCCGTGTCCCTTCATGACGCAGATGATCATGGCCCTCCACATCTTCCTGCCCCTTTTAGCTCGTAATAAATAGCTGGCAATGTAGTAATGAAGGCCGAAAGCCTCGAAATAGAATCGATTACGTTTTTTTTTGGTTTTTTTTTTTTGGTTTTTTTTTTTGTTCTTTTCAAGAATCCAAGAACTTAACACAAAAGATAAAGTTGAATTTTCAACCGGAGGCCTTCTTCATCTTTGAGGAGATTGTCCTGCATTCACTACCTATTTCGGAAGACAGATATCACGTAACAGTTCAATTCTCTTTTCTTTGTTTCTAACAAAGTTTTTCTATCTCTTAATACTCTGCTTAGCTTTTGGAAGGCATCTTTGGCCATCCCAATGCATCTTCGGATCCCAATGTCACACTTTCCGTCCTCTTTTAGAACACTTCACAGATATTTAAATTTTTGTACTTCTTTGATTTTAGTCCCCCAATTTGTAATTTGCAATACGGACTCATCTTTTTAGATTTGTCATTCTATAAATTTTATCTGATCATCTCAGGAAATTATTATCATACTCTGGAATGAAATTGCGAAAGATGACTTCCAAAAACGAAGCAGAGTATTAAGAAAGAGGAAAATTTCGTTAGAAACAAAAAAAAAAAAGAGTACTGAACTGTTATGTAATATCAGTCTTCCTCTATTTTTTCAAGTTATTTCTCCATATACGGTTAATACGATACACACTCATAGATAGATAGATAGAGAGATAGAGAGAGAGAGAGATAGTGAGTACACTGAGATAGATAGATAGATAGATAGATAGATAGATAGATAGATAGATAGATAGATAGATAATGAACACATTGAGATAGATAGATAGATAGATAGATAGATAGATAGATAGATAGATAGATAGATTGTAGAAAAAAATAAGAATCAATATGTATCGACTCCAGAAGGTTGAAATAAACATTTTCATCTCCTACATTAATGTTAATGAACATCTCCAACACGGTTCTACAAATTGAATATTAATCTCTTTTCGAGTTTTTGCCGCTAATCCGGAATCGAACGTCAGCCATTATTTGCAGTTTAATGGTGATTTTTCCTTTTTGTATTCTTTTTTTTTTGTTGTTGTTGTTTTTTTTTTCTTTTTGTTGCTTATCAATGAAAGCTTCTCTTGTGTATTTCATAGTTGCTTTAAAAATGACAATGTCAAGTTTTAAAGCGATGCTTAATGTTTTCAGTTGCCACACGGAATACAGTTTGATTTGGATGACATAAAAATGCAAAGTTGTTGCTGGGAATTTGAAGGAGAGGTTAGAAGAAAAAGTAGATAAAAGTTGAGTTGGGTATTTTGTCAAGAAATATGAAGAATAATTTTTTTTAAAAATGAGAAAGAAAGAAAGAAATATAAGGGAGAGAAGTAAAAAAGTAAGAGTGAATCCGTTAAAGAAATAAAAAATAACGGAAGGAAAGAAATAGGAAAAATAAGGGAAGGAAAGAAATAGGAAAAAAGAAGCATTGACTAAGATAGATAGATAGATAAATAGATAGATAGATAGATAGATAGATAGATAGATGAGAGAAGTAAAAAAGTAACAGTGAATCCGTTAAAGAAATAAAAAATAACGGAAGGAAAGAAATAGGAAAAAGAAGCATTGACTAAATAACAGGGAAAAATTTACAAAAAGAGAAACAACTGAAGAAAGAAAGAAAGAAAGAAAGAAAGAAAGAAAGAAAGAAAGAAAAGGACTAAAGGACGGAAGGGAACTGAAGAAAGAAATACAATGTCAAAGAAATAAAGAATTCAAAGAACAAATTCAAAGAAAGAAAGAAAGAAAGAAAGAAAGAAAGAAAACCTATCAAAGAAAAAAGAAAGGTTATCAATGAAAGAAAGAAAGGGAAAAAGTGGCTGCAATTTTCCCTTGTACAAGATAACACAAGAAGAGGTCATTGATTTGGCTTGTTGCTTAACTGTAAAACACCGCTTGCCCCTCCTTCTTGTCAGATGAGTTAATCAAAAGTGAGCTGGATGGTAAATTAAACGTGCGGCACACAAAATAACACGGGAGATAATTATGCTACAGATCGGTATTGTTGCCTTTCATGTGGATTTGTAGGCTTTCTTTTTAAATTGTGTGCGGATTGGAAAGGCCAAGGCGGAAAATTAACTCACAAGGCTGTAAAAGATGGCGTATTGCATCGGCGTCAAGGCAGGGATTTTCGGTGTTAATGCATACATTGAAATATGGAACGAGATTTCGAGATGGAAGGAACCATAGTAGGTGTAGCCATTTGATTTATACAAGAACTAAATAAACATATATATAATAACTGACGAACTATGATAGATAGATAGATAGATAGATAGATAGATAGATAATACAATGAGATAGATAGATAGATAGATAGATAGATAGATAGATAGATAGATAAGGAACACAATGAGATAGATAGATAGATAGATAGATAGATAGATAGATAGATAGGAAACACAATGAGATAGATAGATAGATAGATAGATAGATAGATAGATAGATAGATAGATAGATAGATAATGAAGTGTTCCCATCCATTTCTTATTAACACGAACATTCTAATGTGACGTCGTCCCCCGGTCGCAGCGCCAACTGTGACGTTCTATCCTGATCTACCACGGCGCCAGTTGTGACGTGGCCGTTCCAGGGTCCTATCCCGGTCACGACACCAGTTGTGACGTCCCTAAACAGCACCAATTGTGACGTCTTCGCCGCGGCGCCAGCTGTTCGCTCCTCGCTGCTCCGTCCGGGTGTCGCTGCTCCGTCCGGGTGTCGCTGCTCCAAACGTGACGTTCGCCTGTCGCGTCGGTCGTGTTGTCTCGTACTGTGACGACCAACTGGCTTGGTATCGGTCGCGGCACCCAAATGTGACGTTCTAACCTTTTGGTGATTCGGGTGGGAATCTGGTTAGATTTGATATCAGCCTCGCCGTTCCCAACTCGCTTCCAACGCCTGGTTACCAAGGTAACTGCACTGATCTCCAGTCTGCCTACCCACGTTGTGAATTGATCTTAGACAGACGAGATCAAACAGGGGTTGGGGCCGTAATGCAAATTGAGTTCAACGGGGGTGATAACACACAAATATGCATAAATGAAAATAAAATGAAAACTCAAAATGTTCAAAGTATCAAAGAAAAAGGTAACAAACTTTATGTCTAGTTGTTCGATACATAGGACTGCATCTATCTCCCGACCCGTTCTGTGGATTGTGACACGTCGTTTTCGCTAGGCAAGTTTTTAACGCTTCAAGTTGTTTGCTCTCTAAGAAATTTGTGTTTCGGTGTGTCTCTGGACGAAAGTCGAAAAACTTATTTCGGTGGTCTTGTCCTAAGTCGTTCTTCAAAATAATTGTTCTTGGTTGAAGAGGAGTCCAAAATTTTGCGTGAATCTTGGTCAGCTATCTTGGTCTATCATCTCTGCCGCCAGGGCCCGAACTACTGGACACTCATCTCTGCCGTCAGGGCCGAACGAACTCATTTCTGCCTGTTGGTGCCTGGCTTTTATTGACGCCGACAAAAACTGGGTTAGGTCTGTTGGCGTTGGGGAGTTCCTCGATAATTCTAAATACATATCCAACTCTTTTATTTCTGGTTAGGGATTTTCCACTCTTTTCCATTTTTGGTAACTTTTTTTTTCACTCCCACTTTCTCACCATGCTTCTGAGGGACGTGAACTGCCCTCCCCACTTCTTCGTAGCGGCTTCTCATACTTATACTCTGGATGGGGGCGTCGACAGCCTTCTTCGTGCGTCACGTGATCACTCTCGGCCAATGAGGTCTTGGTCGGGTATCTTTCCTCCTCCTTCGTGCGTCATGTGATCACCACTTGACCAATGACGTCTTAGTCGGGCGTGAACAACCCGCGGCTTTGTTTCGGGAATAAAAAAAATACCTTGCTTAACTAAAAAATTAATTATCCCTCCTCTTTCCTCTTTTTCTTCCTTTCAAATCGCCGTTATCATGAACGGATAATATGACAACTCTTTGTTCAACACGTGGCGTTTGTCAAGCAGTTTATCGCTAATTCATCAGATGGCTGGTTTTCCGACATGGCCTTCTCCAAGGAAGAAATAAAAACATTTCTTATTCCATTCATTTTCCTTCGGTTCATGTGTCTGATAACAAAATTTTATTATCGCAGGGCAAAAGTTTGTTTTGTCGAAAAGAGTTTAATTAGCGAGACTGTTTGTGTGGGATTTTAATTTTCCATATCTAGCTAAGGCTCCGAGCTACACCTGTGTTTTGTCAATTATCAAAATCTAACGTTTTCAAGTGGACTTTCTTTGGCGAACATTTCTTGATAACACAATTCCATTCGCGCAGGCCAAGTAGGAAAATCGGTCAATGATTGCTCGCAGGTGGCCTTTAATTTTCCAATCCGGCCAAAGTCCTTTTTTTAGTCGCCTGTTTCTTGTCGTCACTTATCGAAATAACATTTTCGCTTGAATTTTTCCCTTGGCCGGTGGCCTGTGTTTTGATAATAAGATGCCTTCCCGTACCAATAGTTTGTTTTCATATCCTTAAATAACAATTCCCTACCCACTCAATCTCATTGTCATTGTAATGACACTCTTTTCGCCATTTGCCACTTATCCAAAATAACCCCTTTTTTTTATTGCCTCTTAAGCCGTGTGCGTGTGTTCGCTTATCACCGATGATCCGTCTCGCATTACTTTTTCCCTTCCTTTCTTCTTTTCTTTCCTTTTCCCTTTTTGCCTTTCTTTCTCTGCCTGGATGCATGGTGCCACACTAAAAACCCGAACAAACAAATTTTAGACAATTTAAATTTGAACTTAAATTTCGTTTCTATTTTAAATTTAAGGGTTTGAAACTAATCCAAATTAAAAGAAAAATTAATTTTCGTGTATAAATAAACTTTTTAGTCATTTTTAAAACATTGGAACGGTTTTTCGCCGCTCACCGAGTCGCCATTATATGCGAAAAATGTAAACAACAAATTTAAATTCTCTTTAAAATTCAATATTTGTCCTAGAGATATATTTCGAAATCTGTTAACAAATTTAACAATAAAAAATAACTCAATTTTCTAAAAGTAATGCTCATCTTTTACTTAAAACAGGATGAAAATAACGTTTTACTTACGTACGGTAGCCTGTGGGGTCAAAGTACAAAATAAAAACACTGTCTGAAAAACGAGCGAAAATGTAAAGAATAAAACCTAAAAACATACGGGAAACCAGTAAATCAGTAGTGCAATTGTGGTGAGCCTAGATAAAAATATAATAAAATATATAAACAAAACCCATCTCTCTGTTTCTCTCTCCCTCTCTCTGTCTGTATATATATATATACACACTTCTCTCTTAATTCATGAGAAGGTAAGCCTCAAATAAAAAAGAGAAAGAAGACTGAACACGGTTATAAAATGGTGTAATTTTGCTGGTCCACGAATCTCGTTATTGCGACTAGAAATCTACCAAAATAAAAGAGGCTCCACGCATAACTTCCGCTATAAGAAATGAAAAAAAAACGACAATCAAAAAACAAATAGACTCCTGATGTGAGCCAAGACCAAGCTTCGCAATAGTAGTATGGACCCCATTCTTAAGGGATATAAACAGACAGCAGAGACAGAGAAAGGGCCGCTTGAGAAACCAACCAAGCCTGTTATGTGAAGAAACTAAACAGTCATCTGTTTAAGACATTTTTCCGCCCTTCCAAGGGCCGATAATGCACCACAGATTGAAGTTGTACATCTTTCTAGCAAGATGACAACTACTACTAAAGTCTGACTTGTAAACAATCAAATACCCAGCCGAACGAACTTTAGCTACCCCAAATTACAAAGGACTCGCTCCAGTCGAAGTCAAATAAATAAATATATATTATTCTTATTTTCCCCAATACAAGGCCCAAGGACCACTCAATGTAGACGCTTACCGTGTAGAGTTGTATGAGTGTAAAAAAGGCCAAGATAACAGAAAAGATAGCTAATTCTAGATTTGCAGTGGTCAAGATTTAATTTGCAAATAAAATTTCAGAGTTTAGGCGGAGACAGGGCTGAAGGAACCGGAATCAGAATCCTAAACAGTAAACAAAGGATGAACCCTTTACTCCTTTTCAAAAACCGAGGAGGGGTGTGAACAGGATGATAAGCAAACCTATCTGCTATTGGGAGAGAAAAAATTATTTAATAAAATTTCAGATTTCAAATGGAGACGTCAAAAGTACAGTGTTGAAGGAACCGGAAACTCAATCCTAAATAGGAAAAAAATGGATAAATCTCTACTTCGCAGTTTCCGGGAAATATTACTAAAGAACCTATGTAATGCTTTTCTACGCCATAATTTGTTATTTATGTTTAAAAATAAATTTTCTTTAACCTTATATAACCAATAGTTTCAAAATATAATTTTTCACTCTCCACGCATTTAAAAGACTTAGTGTAATGAATAAATTTTGATGGCTAACAAAACAAAAATATAGCATAAATGCAATTTCGTACACATTTGAGTAATGTGGGAAAAAATTGTTCTAAGAGTCAATTTTAGACAAATTACCGTAATAATGTATTCTTTCATGCAAATAGAATAGTTTCATTGTAATCCAGAAAATATTCTTAGAGGCGAGGGGAACATGTAGTGAGTCCCGATAAAAAAATAATATATAAGCAAAAATAAAAAGAAACCAAATTAAAATAACGCATTTACGCTTTCCTTTAAAACCTTTATCTATCTATCTCCCTTCTCTCCCTCCCTTCTCTCCCTCCCTCCCTCTTCCTCTCTCCTCTCTCTCTCCCTCCCTCTTTCCCTCCCTCTTCCTTTCTCTCTATCTCTAAACTTCTCTTTCTATACTTCTTTCAACTAGCAAGAAGTTCAGATCAGAGTGACCTCCGCCGATATTCAATGACCATGGATTTGATTCCACCCATCTGTAAGTTAGGATCAAGACAGGGCAGGATGGTATGGAGGACAAGATGTTACCCATGCAGCATGTCCCCCACCTCTCCACGTTACTGATGGATCCAAAGAAACAGTTTGGCTGTAAGCTGCCAGAACGAGGCTACAACTTCGATTTTTTTATCTGTACAGTTTCTGCTACGTCAGGGCTACATACGATTTTGAATTCAGGGCTACTTTTTCCTAGATTGATTGCCATCCAAGGCTATAGAACCCAGTCTGTCCCGCTATTTGCCCATAGACAGTATTTAGAGTAGAAAGGAATCAAGTTCAGAAATTCCTGTATAGATATACACCCGAGGAAGGTCGTAGAGAACAACGGCCGAAACCTTGTGATAGCAACAACAAAGATGAGCAAAATATTTTGAATGTAAGTAATTTAAATAAAACTAGTATTATTACAAGGTGGGTTGATTGATAGACCATATTGTTTTTATGCCTGTGTTAAGGTTGGAAATTGGGTGATATTAATGATTTACTGATACAAGAATTACTAATTAACCCGTAGCCGGGGAAAAAGATAGATTCATACCTTTTCCAAGAATATTTATGTGCAAGTGAATGTAACGAACAAAACTGCAATTGGAACACGGCTCTTCGATTTGCAATTCCGAGTTGTTATCCATTACACCACCTGCACATTCAAAATTACAGCGCCTACTATACCCAAGCGGTCACTCATCCAGGCTCGACGTTGCTTAACTTCAGAGATCGTACTGTAACGGGTTTTTCAACTTGATGTGGCTGTAAGCACTGAACAGCCAAGCTTACAGTGCCTGGTATTCCCAAGTGGTCACTCATCTAGGTACTGACCAGGCTCGACGTTGCTTAACTTCAGAGATCGTACTGAAACGGGTCTTTCAACTTGACATGGCCGTAAGTCCTGAACTTCCAACCTTACAGTGCCTGGCATTCCCAACCGGTGACCCATCTTGGTACTAATCAGGCTCGACTTTGCTTCGGTGTACGTTTGGTGAGCCCTTTATACCATCTGCACATGCGTGCTTAAATGTTCCTGTTTATATGTGTGCTTGTGCGCGTGTATCTCCGTGTAGAACGCTTTTGGCAATCGATTTATTCATCCATGTCTTCATCCTTGCGTTTGTCTTGTTCGCGGGCGCACGATTGGCTGGATCACGTGTGTCTTAGTGAATGCGCCTGCATATTGAAATACCACCTGATTCCGTTGCTTCCTACTTGTAATTCTCTTGCTTTAAAAAAGAATTTTTTTTTTGTATTTATGGTAACTACCTTTCTGTTTGTTTAAAGTAATTAAAATATATTAGTTTACAAATTTCTATATTAAACAACTCTTTAAAAAATGGTCACTTCAAAAAATTTAATTTTTTTAAATGCATTTACCATAAATTTTGAAAAAAGCATAGGTCGTAATCATAATTTTTTAAAAAAGGAATAAAAGGAAAAAAATTAAAAAATTAAAAGTTTATTTTTGTTTAAAATGCAATGACAGATAAACAATGTTACAAGATCGCTCTACACATCGCCATTATGTTTTTGTTTCATCGGCATTTTTTTTTCTTAATGATAGTGGTAGCTGTAATTTTCTTGTCCACCAAGATTTTTCCACCAGTGTTTGATTTTCAGAACTTAGCCATGGGTCCCAAATAAAAATATAATCTATAAAATCCAGAATGTATTAGATATTTGTGGTACACACTGCTGAAATGAACTGAAACTGCTCAAATACTTCTTTCTTTTTTTTTTTTTTTGCTTTAAAAAAGAAATTTTTCTCTCTTTTTTTATATATATATTTTTTTTTTTTTTTTTAAGCATTGAGCCCCAAGCAAGGCGTGAAGCCACTAGGATGCAGGGGGTTTGGAGCGAGAGCAGATAAGAGTGATAGGAGAAAGGAAGAGGAGAATGATAGTGGGTAGATCAAGGTAATTGGAGATGTCGATTGACATTACATTTGAATAGTTGGAGATTATAGCTTTCAGGGAAACAGTAATTGGGGAGGGTGTTCCACTGGCGCGAGGTATGAAGCTATTGGAGTAGAAGAGACGGCTACATTTGAAGGTTTCTACGGTGTAAGGGTGAGAGCGGGATGCCAGCCTCGTAGGGCGCTTGAATTCATGGAGTCTGGGAACCAGAGAGAGCAGCTCATCAGAGCAGTTACCATGGAAGTATTTGTAGAAAAGACAGAGAGAGGCGACGGCGCGTCTGTGAGAGAGTGACTGTAAGCAAGACGCTAGATCAGGGCCAATTATGTTACATATCCTTCTCTGGATCTTGTCAAGAACTCCGAGGTAAGCAGAAGGTGCACCAGCCCATATATGGCAGCAATACTCCATGCAAGGGCGAATGGTTGTTTTGTATATTTGAAGTATTGATTCAGGGGAGAAAAATTTCCTGGCGCGGCACAGAGAGCCAACTTTCCTCGCGGTGGAAGAAGCAATTGACTCAATGTATTTGTTCCATCTCAGGTCAGCAGTCAGCGTGAGACCAAGCAGACGCAGGAGTTGCTCTCAGGAAGTAGACTATCAGACATTTTAATGGGGGGCAGGGAAGGATCTCTATGGTGGTTAATGGAGAGTAATTTAGTTTTAGTGGCGTTAAAGTTGACCAGCCAATTCTTGCCCCAGTTAACAACCGATTGGAGGTCCATTTCAAGACGCACGGCAAGGTTAGTTTTGTCGCCGACACTAGACTTGTTTTTGAGGCAGGAGTAAATTGTAGTGTCGTCTGCATAGATGCCGACCTGGGAATCTATAGCTTCAGGAAGGTCATTGATAAAAATGAGGAAAAGAGTGGGGCCAAGGATGGAGCCTTGGGGCACACCTGCGTTAGTTGGATAGGAACTGGAGGAGAATCCGTTGAGAACGACCTTCAATTCTCGGTTAGACAGGAATGATTGTATTAGATCAAACAGTTGACCAGTAACACCATACCCCTGGAGCTTACGAAGAAGGCCGGCGTGCCAAACCCTATCGAATGGTAACTTAAAGGTATTGGTGTACAAATTTCTATATTAAACAACTCTTTAAAACAGGGATCGGCAACTCATTCGACCCCGCGGGCCGGATCGTGTTATAATGACGGGTCGCGAGCCGGACGAAGGCCATTAATGAAAAATTAAGAAAAATTACATATGCAGACCTCTGTCAACCTAAATATTTAAAACCATAATGAAAATAAACATTGAGAAATCAGAAAATCTAAAATTAAAAAACACCTAACAAAAATTACTTTTCCTCAAGGAACGTCAAAATACTTCAAAGTGAAAAAAATCAACCGAAGTGAAATGGATGAAATTATGACGTGTAGGTTTGAAACTGTTATTGAAAATTGTTCCACAAACGAACCACACACACACACATCAAACAAAAAACGAAGCACATATACCCATACATACGAGTACAAATAGTTGCAAACATATACACTTACGTACGTACACATGCGGTATCATCCACACATTCATGAGGCATGTATGTATAATGCGCGTATGTTTAACTGTCTTTAGATTTCTGCTACCTCGCATGTCAGTCCCTCCCTGGCCTCTTTCACTTTATCGTTCCTTTCGCTTCTGTTATCTTTTAATGTAGCCAACGGTCATAACAAATATGTATCCATTATTTGACATTAAACGTAGGCAACGCAACTTGGTAAAATAAGTCTCATGGAAGATAACTGGCAGATAGTCTAATTCGAAAGCCTCGTCTCTCATGTTAAAAATAGAGTCATTGGTAATCAGGCTCGCGGGTCAGTCAAAATGCCTTCGCGGGCCGGATCCGACCCGCGGACCGTAGGTTGCCGACCCTTGCTTTAAAATAATGTTAACTTCAAAAAGTTATTAGAGAAACGCAGTTATCCAGGGACGCATTTATCTATGGACGCAAATACCTGGGAGGTAAATGTCCAGTCCGTCCACCGGAAACAACTGAAATTCTTTGGACATATAATGAAGAAGGAGGGCTATGCAAATTTCTCATGAGGCATACTGAGAAAAAAGGGGAAGGCAGCAAGCCACTTATCTGACGAGCTTGAGAGAGGGGAAAGCAGCGAGCCACTTACATGAAGAAATCGGAATTGGAAATCGGAGAACCGAGTTCTAATTGCACTTGTGCTCATTACATTCACTTACACATAAATACTCTTGGGAAAGGAATGACTCCATCTTTTTCTCCCCCGGCTACGGGTTAATTAGTAAGACTTGTATCAGTAAATCATTAATATTCACCAATTTCCAACTTTAACACAGGCATAAAAACAATATGGTCTATCAATCAACCCACCTTGTAATAATTCAAGTTTTATTTAAATTACTTACATTCAAATTAATTTCCACATATTTGTTGTTATTATCACAACGTTTCGGCCGTTGTTCTATACGGCTTTCATCAGGTGTGTATATATACAGGAATTTCCGAACTTAAATAATGCCGGTAGACTATTCTCGTTCCACTGCTCATATTTCGTTTAGTTCTTATTTTTAGAACTGTTCAGTTATTGCTCGCTCTGTTTCCACTAAGTCCAAGTATATACTGCCCGGACTAGGGATTGAACTCACAATTATTATGTCAGCAAGTTCACGAACCCACGCTCTATTCCAACGGAATACTGTCCCGTAGAGCAATTCTTTGCATGATAAAAAAAAAAGTGGGATAGAGAGAAAACAGGGCAGAAAATGTTCTCTTCTACAGGAGGAATAGAATCTCAGTAGGGAAGAGTGATAATGGGGAAAAAAGGAAAAAGGATACTGTGGAGTGCCATGATCGCCGGCTTCCTGAAGAAACAGCTGAAATTTCTGGGACACATAATGTGGAAAGAAGCTTTGGAAAAATTGATCCTCACGGGACAGAGTAGGCTTACGGCCGCATCATGTTGAAACACTGGTCCCTGTACGATCATAAAGTTAAGCAACGTTCAGCTTAGTCAGTAACTTTATTGGTGACCATTTGAGAATACGAGATGCTGTTCGTTTGGGTGTTCGGGTGGTGCAAGGACACATGGCACGGTGGATAAAGGCGCTGGTTAGATCCAGTGGCAGCACACAAAGAGTGTGAGTTCAATACCTGGTTAAGGCGGTGGAGAACTTGGAAAGGGGAATTAACAGGAAATAACTGATAACTGACATCCGTTGGACATGGCACGTGGAATTAGAACAGTCTGTCCCAGTGATCGAAATAAAGAGTTCAGTTCGTCATTCCAATCACCTGAAGAAGGCCGGAGCGTACAACGGTCGAAACGTTGTAATAAATATGGCGACAAAGATGAGGACAATAGTCCGAATAATGTAAATATTGAGAGACCAATTGAACGATATTCTATGCCTTCAACTACAGATAATGTATTATTGGTAATTTTTTATAAAAAATGTACTTCTGATAATTTTACTATAAAAATGTATTTTTATACTTTCATATTGTTTTGTTTTTGTTGGTGGAGTCACTATTTGCACATAATAAATATATTGTTGGCAATATTTTTCTTATTTTTCTATTTCAAAAATTTATTGCTGGTATTTTTTAAATGTATTGCTGGTAATATTTTTTTTTCAAAAATATCCCGTATATAAAGACTGTTCCAATAACTTGGACTGATTTTAAAATGTAAATTAATTTTAAGCGTTTAATGATTTTTTCTTTTTCTTTCAGATTTAACAACTTAAGTCTTTGGCAATTTCAACCATAGAAAGATTAACAATCAAACAATGTGTTAAAGTTTCAAGAGTGCAATTGAATAAATTCTTCGAAACTAAGACTAATAATATTTCTTATTCTTCTTTGGATTTTGTCAAAACTCTGAAAATATATAACAGGAGCACCGGACCATATGTGGCAGCTTTTAGATATGTAAGATTCTGGATTGAAAAATTTTCTAGCACGACACAGTGAACCAACTTTCTTAGCAGCTGACCTA